TCTATCTATCTATCTATCTATCTATCTATCTATCTATCTATCTATCTATCTATCTATCTATCTATCTATCTATCTATCTATCTATCTATCTATCTATCTATCTATCTATCTATCTATCTATATCCCACCCATCTAGTCAATTGACTACTCTGGGTGGCTTCCAACATATGTAATAAAACATTATGAAAATAACAGTGGTATAAACATCAATAATCAAATTATTCAAGATGGAAAATATAAGAAAAAATAAATCAAATAATAACTGGAGGGAAAGCCTGCCTAAACAGCCAGGTTTTCAATTGGCTTTTTAAAATGCCCAGCGAAGGGGCCGCACGGATCGTAGGAGGAAGATTATTCCAGAGGTGAGGAGCAACTGCCAAGAAGGCCTGGTTTCTCTCAAGTTCCCTGTAACTGCAGAACCCTTTAGAAGGACTGTACCTCCAATGATTACCTGAGGCTCTGTGTCTAGCCTGAGGCAGATCAGCATGTTAGGGTGATGAAGGGGAGGAGGAGGAGACATTTTCTGTCTCTATACACTGCTGCAAGTGCTCCTCTCTCTCTCTCTCTCTCTCTCTCTTGCTCTCTCCTCCTAGGCTTTTACAAAACTAATAGGAACTTCTTCCAAAGAAAGGAACATAAGCAGCATAATATACACGTACCAATAAGGAGAAAATGAAGAACCCCATTCTTATTTTCATTATGACGGGAGAGTATAATACTGATTGGATAAAGAAAAATGGACATCTGTCTCCTAGGATTCCACAGAAGAATAGAATGGGACCTATTTGCATGAAATAAAAATGACAGCATTATGGTTGTTGTGACTGCAGCATTTTTAGCAATGTCTCTGTTGATCCCCAGTCCTTCTGCGCCTCTATCCTGTACGTCACAAAATGCTCTCCAGTTCCCTATGACTAGTATGCAGTAATTTGTACACATCTGTAAAAATACAACACAGTGAAAAATATGCTAAGAAACTGAGAGTGTATACTAAATTTCCAAGCATTTCTAATGAAAGATATCTCTTAAAATTTGCTGCCATTTGGCTTCTAGCTTAAACTCATTTTATCCCTGTGAAATGTCTGTTTCTATAACTTAAGACCACTTGGGGAAAAATTCACGATCAGCTATTTTCTTCTGTCTCATTGTCTAGATGATAATTAGTTCACCATAATTGCTATTATAGCTGAGTGTAGTTTTCTGAATTGGCACACAGCCTTGTCATCATTCAAGAGAAAAATATCATAGCAGAAATGTGAGATTCTATAAGCCTTTCCATGCATATGGCATGGTTCCATCATTGTTCCTTCTAGATTCATGAAGTTATTTTTAAATGGTGCATTTGCCTGCACGGTCTATCCAGCACCATTAGGTGTAAGTGCAATAAAATGGCTCCTATTTAGATTTATATTGAATCATGAAGTTAAATGCTTACTTTTTGCACTGGGAAGTCCTCATCTCTGTTCTAGTTGAACCTATACTTGGCTCAGATTGTAACTCTGAATATCATCTGGAAACTGGGACTTCTTCCTTGGCACCAAACCTATGACTGAATGGGGCATTCAAGATGGCAGGGAGATCTGGTGGAGAACCTCTGAAAATGAATTCACTTCCTTGAATACTGATACTTCTATTGAATAGTCAAAGACAACAGCTTAGTTACTTTGTTTTGAACCAGTGAAAGCTTTTGGTGTTTTCAAAAATGTTAGTATACCATGCATAGCACAGGCCAATCCCGTAGTTAATCACTGGATAAATTTGGTTATCTGTTGTTTCCCAGTGAAAAGAGCCAGGTGAGGTAGCAGTCTAAACTAGGGAAGGCAATTCCTAGTCTAAGATGTTATTTAGGCTTCCAGCAATAAAGCTGAGTCCAGAAGTGTCACCGCGCAACACCATGAATTTGTTTGTTAAAGGAGAGTGCAGTCACATCCAGTATGGACTGAACATCTCTCTCCCCAGATAAACCACCACTTGCCCAGAGGTCCTCCATTTTGTCATACTGGCCATCATGTAGACTGAAATGCTAACCATTACTTTATGAATTTTTAAATTATTTTTTTAACCCCAGGCTTTCTGTCAAAACCTCTTTTATTTTATTCAGCCACCAAATCTCATTTAACATTGCAAGCTGGAGAATAGGAATACTTCTTCAGTCCTAGTAAAGCTGGGCATTAAAAGCTAGGTAGACATATAATTACAACATTTAGCACCATTATGGATTATCATCTGTTTGTAGTTAGAGGTAAACTGTAGGAGGAATCTTCTGACCATCAAGGCTTTTGTATAATAAATCAGAGAAGTAGACTTTTATGAAGTGAAGTGCCATTAATTCTGCTTTTCTTCTCCTATATTGTTTTGACAGTGGACCTACTGGACTTAAATGCCACAAATGAAGCTTTCAAACAGCACAAATTGAACCAAAATGACCAACTCCTCAATGTTCAAGATGTAGTCGGTTGTCTCACTACAATTTACAGTGGATTGCAAGAGAAGCACAAGGACTTGGTGAATGTTCCGCTTTGTGTAGATATGTGTCTCAATTGGCTGCTGAACGTTTATGATACGTAAGTAAGATATGTCAAGCACAAAACAAACATTGCTTGCAGTTCAGTACTGCTGAGTCCATGAGTGCGGAACACTACTTTTCTGTCTGCTGTTATGGAAAGTATAAGATGCACATCCACTCATATATCTTTCCTTCCTGAGGTCAGTAACAGGAAACAAGTGCTTGTAAGAGCATTGAAATATCATGTTCTCCACGTTTCAGCAATAGCATGTGTGGTTGGGAACAGAAGTGTGGGACAGAATGTTCATTGTGATCCTATGGTAGTTGTGGAACTCAGGAAATCCTTATTTATTAGTTGCTTTGCTTTGTGTGACACACACTTCTGTTGCACTCTGTTATTAGCCTTGTGCTCTTTCCTTATAGAATGCAGCAACATCTCTGTAAGATGTGGAGTCACTTAATAAGTGCATGAACATTGTACTTGCACTGCATAAGTTCAACCCATAAGTCATTATCTATTTCTGAGGCATAGAGGTCAACACTGCAGATCTTTCAAATACCAGTGACTGCTCTGCTTCTTGACTTCAACAATATCCTAGTGCACCTATTCAGAAAATTTGTGCAAAATGAGATTAGGTCTAATAACTTAGGACAGTGCAAAATTACATAATTCAGAGCATGTGTTCCTTCTTCATGAGCCCATACTTCAAGAACAAGAGAGTTACATACCAAGAAGGAATCCTCAGTCTGAACACTTAAGTTCACTAAAGAGAAAAACAGAAAGGAAGAAGGCAAGCAATTGCTGTTTGTATAAAATATATTAAATCACGAATTTGTAGAAAGACCTCACTGGACCTCAACGTCCCGGTAGTTGCATTACAACTTTTATTTAGTAAGTCTAAAATTATTACATAGAGGTATCTGAGTGACCCCTGAAATTGTGCATTTGGAGATTATTTGCTGGAGTAAGAAATGCATCATAGAAATATTAGGAGAGTTTGGACACTGCTTTTGAAAGGAAAGATGTAACTTTTTAGAGCAAGAGTACTACTCTAAAATGAGAAGTCAGTTGTTGTGTCCAGTGTTGTACAGTGTCCTGTGGACATGAAAACTGTGCTTATTATTTTCCCATTATCTTGTTACTGAATATCAAGCTGGCAATATATTCTTACATATTTTAAACATCAAACAAGAAGCAAGTTTTACTAGTTCAATCTTGTTGCAGTGTGCAGTTTAAGGATTATTGTTTTCAGTGAAGTGCAATGCAAGGTGGGCAAAGTGTGGTCTGTTGGCCACATGTGCCTCCCCCAGGGAATTTTGCTACCCCCAGGCCACCCCAAAGCTCCCCAAGTTCAAAACATATATACTTTCTTTGACTAAAAAGGTGGGGAGAGGGGCTCTAAGAATAGCAGTTTTCTATTCCTGCTGTTCCTGGATCCAGGACCTTCAGCAGATAATACAGGTCAATCCCAATGTCTCAGCCTGACCAGCCTCTTATTTTAAGAATAATGTAAGGAGAAGGAGGGCCATGTACAGTGCCTTCAGTTCAGTGGAGGAAAAACAGGATATAACTGTACCCAAGAAATATAATCATGTATTTCATCCGGGCAGGGCTTGGAAAAACTCCTGCTTGAAGCCCTGGCTGATCATGTTGTCAGTACTGTACAGACAATACAAATTAAACAACCCAGTGGACTGATGGGATAAAGCAGCTTTCTTTATTCTACATGTAAAGCACAGTTCACCCAGAAATTTTATTGCTGCAAAAATAATTTAAAATTTAAGGAAATAAAAACATCAAAAGTACATTATGGGTGAGGTATATAGAAGAAAAGTAATAATGCAGATCGATTTGGAAACCCAGTGTTGCCAGTACTCATTGACATTAGGTCTGTGCAAGGTCCTCAGCTTGTTAACAAGAAAGCTAACATTGAGGAGGAGGCTTTGGCACACACCTGCTATAAGCCCTGCCTCCAGTGTCTCCACTCTCTCTGTCCCTAGTCATCCTAAAGTGAACAGATTGATATGAAGAATTCACTTTTCATCAAAGATACACATCTAGGAGCTGCCAGTATATCTTCCAATACTCCAGTGTCTGTTCCTTGCTTTTTGCCCTGATATGAACGGTCACAGTGCCTGCTTAGGAGAAATATGTATGCGAGACTTGAATGTTGGCATTCCTCTAACTCCCAGACATATTGTGATTTTCCTTCCTTCCTTCCCTCCCTCCCTTCCTTAGCTTATTTTATCCCTTATCTGGAGAGCTCTCAAATTACAAGCAACTTTATCCTGATGATATTGCAGATGGCCTTAGTTCGTCTCTAATTCATCACTTAACATTTCCATGGCATGTATCACTGACATATACAATTTTTGAAAAAATTGACCCACCTACAAAAGCCATCTGTTTTTTTTCATGCTATTAATCTGGAATGTAATTAACATCGGAGACTGAAGAAACATTTTCTGTACAACATGCTTACTGATGTTTATGACCTTTGTAAGACATTAGATGAAAACAATTGACAGCAGCACCTATTGTATCTTAAATTTATGTCACATTAAAAATTATTTATTCCTTGTATTAGGTCAATGAGCAGAACAGGAATGAACTCTAATATCTTTGAACTTTAGTTTTTCAAGGACGCAAAGGTTATATGATTGATTAACATCTGCTCTGCAAGTATATTTCATCCTTAAACATTACCCCCACAAATAATTTATCAGAAATATTATGTCTATTATATTGAAAATACAAGGTCGGTTAAAAAAAGAGCATGCAGAAAGTTGCTGACAGAAGCTCACTCACCTGCCTCTTTGCTTTGGCAGCTCTGCTCATGGAAATTGCCTCCTGAATTTTACTTCTCTGTTCACATCTCCTCAGCTTTGATGGCACTACAATCCATCCATTGCGCAGAATTCTTTGACTTCCAGGAGGAGTATTTTTCAGGGTGAGGGAAGGAGCAAGAAAGTTAGCCTCTGTCAGTCTCTCTCTGCAAACTTTTCTGAAGCGCCCCATCTTTACAACTGATATAATTCAGGAGATTGAAGCACAGAGTTTGCCAGGGCCAAGGTGTTCAAATCCCGGCTGCGCCTCCCAGGAAAGGGGCTACGTGAGATCACATGGGGCATGTGTGGCTAATTGGGTTATGTGCCCTGTCACCTGTGTAGCCTGGTGTGAGCTGTCTAATTCCAGAGTGCTACCAGAAGGAGGGACTAGTAAACCATTTCTGACTTCTTAATACCCAGCAATCAGTGTTGGTTGGGTGGCACTTACGTATTAATATTATCCCATCATTTATGGACAGAGAACAAACTTTATTAAAGAGATAGAGGGACTTAAAAACCTAGTTAATAGTTACTATATCCTTTGAGCTGAAGATCTGAGGAGGCAGATTGCATTACCAATAACTCATTCTTAAATCTATTAAACATTTGTAGGTAGGAAGCCATTGTGCGATGTCCCATGGCGACTGGGATACTGAGTGCTTAGTTGCCATTGATCTCAACAAAGAAAGTTGGGCATAAAAGCATGGGAGGCTAAGTAGGAAGCATACGGAGCTGGGACAAAGAAGGAGTTCTAGAAAAAAAGATGGAGAAAGAAAAGGAACTGGAACGAGGAGAAAAGAGTTTGAAGAACCATGTGATATTGGGAATACACAGTGGGGAACAGAAAGAAAACTGGCTGAATTAACAGAATCACCTGCAGTGGGATGTAATTTCAAGTATCCTTTAAGAGCTGTAGCCTACAGATAATGCCAAAGCCATGTCTGGAATGCAGGTGCTACCATCTTACCTCCCTGGCCCTGTGCCTGTGTATTTGCGGAACCATTTTTCTGTGTTGTGCATGGCTCTGAATAAGCACCCTCAGCCCCTTGACGAAATTGTTTTGCAGTTTTTTCTTGCCCTTCCCATATTCTTAATTTAGGGCCAAAGTTGACAAGGAGATCAATGACTGGATCTATGGACATTTCTAACTCTTTCCAAAAAAGAGGTGGTATATTTTTCCCATGAGCTAATAGTAGCATTTCCAGGAGAAGGAAGTTCAGATCATAGGTTGAAAAGTTTAACCTGTTTCCCACAGTGTTGTGGTCTGATTTCCTAGGGTTGCTTTTAAGCATAAACAGGAAGGTTGGGATACATCATTATGAATCTCCCACATCTTTGTAAAGTTTGATCCTGAGACTACTGTTTTCAAGTTCCTCTCCTTCAGGAGCACAAAACACGGGAGTTGGAATGCTGAGCTATTTCTGCAGTGGCCTGAGAATTTGTATATCTCAACACCTGATGGAAAACAGCTGTGGATTATGGCCATGCAAAATTCTCTTTAAGGAAATCCATAGCATAGTTCCACATAGGGATCAAGTAATGGTTGACCTCACTTGAGCTGCACTTCAGAAATGTGTAAGTGTTTATTTAAGTGGTTGAAGATGGAATGAAATAAGCTGATGGTGCAGTTAAGAGAAGGATACAAGATAGGGGATAGATTCAGACTTTCAACAGTTAGGGGAAAGATTAGGAATGTGTATTATAGTACTGAATTTCTATGGGAGATGTAGTATGGTTTTCTAATCAGCATTTGCTCCCCATATCTGTAGGCTACCCATGTTGATAGTCTGTTTTGTGTTTAGGCACTAGTAAGATAAATATTTCATATAACATCTCATATAACTTTAATGCACAATTAGGCAAAAGGTAAGGATATATGCCAAATAAGTTATACTCTCTGCATGTGATGCTTGAGAAATATGGAGACATGTTCATTCTCCTACATCAGTGGTTCCCAGCCTTGGCTCCCTTGGACAGCAACACCTGATGGAAAACAGCTGATATAACAGAAGCCTCCACCACTAGCTGTTCTGGCCAGAATTTCTAGGACTTACAGTCCAATAACATCTGGGGACCCAAAATTGGAAACCATTGCCCTAGTTTTAAAGTCATGGCCAAAAATACTGGCACTCTTGCAATTCTGTCAGAAAATGCATCCCTTCTCTCAGAAAATTGTTGCAGTTGCAAATATATAGTATAATGAATGATTCCCAGAAAGAGAGACATTTTTGTGCAAAACAGTAAGAGAGATCCTGTCTGTAAGTCTTAAAGACTTGGGATGTTGTGATTCTAATCCATGGTTATTTATTTATTTATTTTTATTTAATTTATATGCCGCCCACACTACCCAGGGGTCTCTGGGCCGCTTACAACAATTAAAATACAACAAAAATATATACTCTAAAATTGCCTTTAGGACCCACAGTTGATATTATTTCAATTAAAAGCCTTCTGGAACAGGAATGTTTTGACCTGGTGCTGAAAAGTCATCAGAATTTCTGCTAGACAAATTCAATTGGGAGGGCATTCCATAGTCTGGGGACAGCTGCCGAAAAGGCCCTTTGTCTACAAGCCATCCGTCTTATCTCCTTGACGGACGGCTCTCTCAAAAGGGCCCCCTGGCTAGATCTTAATAGGTTCATATGGAAGGAGGCGGTCCTTCAGGTATCTAGGGCCCAAGCCGTTTAGGGCTTTATATGTCAAAACGAGCACTTTGAATTGGGCTCGGGCAGCAACTGGTAGCCAATGTAATTTAAACAGAATCGGCTTGATGTGTTCCCTAGCAGCCCCACTGCTTTAACACTGTGGATACGGGGGAAAGAAGCCAATGTGGGTGTTGTAAAATGTTCTTATTCGGAATTACTTCTAAATTAAAACAATACATGCATGAAATAATACATAATTTAAGCTTGAATTATTGTGTTGGTTCCTAAGGCTGTCTTCTATAAATAGAAAATCCTTGGATTCCAGCAGGTATGTAACTGAATGAAAATGGTGGTAGTCATGAGAATTTTTCCTGTCATGCTCTGTAGTCAACTAGGCTGCCTCCAGGCTGTTCCCTAAGGTGTGTCAGCCTTTTTTTAAAAGCTTCTTGGTATGTGCATGAAGCAGGGAATAGGTCACAATCCTGAAACATTACCTTTTTGTGACTGGAATTCTGGGTCCAACCCTTTATATATAGTAGTGTTTGAGTAAATGAGAATATTGCTTAATCTGTAGATTGCTTTTTTTCTTTCTTGGATAGTGTGCAACAAACTACTGTGCAATAAAAGGCCATCCTTCTGATGGTTTGGTCCTCCTATGGGGAAAAAAAACAATTGCTGTCTTTGGTGACCTATCAATTTGAATTTGCAAAAATATTCTACATCTTTGGCTCACTGATACAGAGTTATAGGATAAAGGATCCTGCAAGTATAGATAAAGCAGCAGATTTTATAATCCTGTCTTTCCTTGGCTGTAGGAAGCCAGTTAATCATAAGTCATGACATTGTAAACACAAATAGAGATTATGCAGTAAATCTTGCCTATAATATATATGTATTTTCTTGTGCCAATTAAAACAGAGCAATAACATTGTGGTAGCATGGATTCAAAGACTGTCATAATACATAATGGGTTTTAATAATACTCTTGGGTTTTATTTGTTTGTACTGGCAGCACAATACTAGCTGAGACTCACATCCATTGAAACATGGTATTCAAGAGCCGATAATTATTTTTGTTACAGATTGTGGTTTTTCTTCCAGTTTGTAAAATATAAATAGCCTTTGTAATTAGCTGATTCCTTAAAAAAAAAGAAATTAAGCATTTTGTAAAGAACTTGTGGTTAGAGCCATGACTGAGAAAAGCACACCTGCACTTGGAGGTGTTCATGACATTGCCATCTCCATGTTAGATTATACCTCCTCTGGAAAGCATATTTCTTCCAGAAATTGCCTAGAAGCATAAAAAGTTATTTGTAAATTTAATATAAAAAGACATTCTGAGAAAACTGGTTTTTGTCACTGTTCGGTCTTATGCAGCTTCTTATTAAAATGGTGAGCTGCTTTTTAAGCCAAAAGAGGTTTAAAAAGCAGTGTGCGATTTTCCCCCCCTGTGGAATAAAAATAGCACCTAGAATTATGAGTATCAGGGGAGTGCATAGACATATAAATCTGAGAGAAGGAGCTTGTAAAACCTTCAAAAGATATTTTGAAATTTCTAAGTTTACTACTCTCTCAATTTCACAGGTTTTATTCTATTAAAATACAGTAAATGTCAAGGAGTGTTTTTCCATATGGTTGTCATATCACACATCCTTTGTTGACCATTAGGCTTTCAGGTATTAAAAGTCACACTGCCTGAATAAAAAGGACACACTGCAATAGCTCTCTGTGTTTCTGACTTTTATACCCTGTATATATCAAAGTATTTTAAAGCACAGATTAGGCAAACAATCTTTTGAAAAATATTAATCTACCTCTAAATAGTATAACTTGAGTCTACCATAGTCAATATCTCATACTGTGTAATGTGCCTCCCAGCTGTGCGCAAACCGTATGTATCACATTATTAGAACATGCTGTGATGCTACACTCCTGTACTTGAATATATTACAATTAATTTGACATGTTTATACATAAAGTAAATATTTTGTGCTAGTACTGAGGAACATTTGTAAAAGAGATTTATTGATATGATTAGCAGCTAATGTCTGAGAATTAAAATACACCAGGTATTCTTGGCAGCATTTGGGGAATTTGAATTATCCTCCTACCTAGTGTTTTACTTTGTTTTCTTAATAGTGGTCGGACTGGAAAAATCAGAGTGCAGTCTCTGAAGATTGGCTTAATGTCTCTTTCTAAGGGCCTTCTAGAAGAAAAATACAGATGTGAGTATACTTTCCGTATTGTGTTCTTTATTTACCCAAAACATACGTAGTTCAGGCTTATTCTAGCAAAAGAAGTGACAGTGAACTTTCTAGCTGTCATTGGCTTTTATAGCGACATGGATGGAGGGGAACTACAGGCGGCACACATTCCAGCAGAAACTACCGGAGATGCTAGCTGGCTTGGGTGGAAGTCTGGAAATGTTAATTATTCAACACAATTTAGAATAATTAGTTCTTTGTTGTGATACACAGCATAAACTAAACACGTGTGTGTGTTCAGTTTATGGAAGCAGTAAGCAGTAAAGAGTGAACCAGAGTTAATTGGAGAAGGTGTATGTGTCTGATAACACTATTGCAGAGGTGTGTGCCACTGTGCTCCTCGTCAGTTAAATAAGGCGACTTTTCAGCGCTATTTTGTTCTGATATTTGAACTTGAGGAATGCTCTAACGTCAGTTTCCACCAAGTAACTATTTAGATACAAGATGCTGTGAACGTATATTGCCCAATACCAGAAGTACCAAGCTCGAAGTAGATTAGACGTGGAATCCATTGAGTTGACAATTTGCTTAGAAATTACTTAAGTGTGTAAAAGTTCCCTACCTCCCATCACCACCCAGGTACCTGTAACATCCTTGTTGCTTCTTGTCTGGTCACTGTCCGGAATTATGCTATTGTAAGGGAAGTGTAATATTTTCCAGTACACAATAAAATCAAAACTGAAAATCATATTTCTCCCTAGGATGGCAGATAGATCATAATTGATATGATGTATAGTTTTCTTTTTGCTGACTGGATAGCTTAGTCAGTTAGGTATCTGGCTGTGGAGCCAGAGATTGGAAGTTCAGTTCCCCACTGTGTCTCCTGCTAGTACAGCCAGCCTGTGTGGCTGTGGGCAAGCTACACAAACCCAGGGTGCCCCCAGCAGGAGGGAATGGTAAACCTCTTCTGAGTGCTATCTGTCTAGAAAATTCTGGAACATGTCTCCTTAAGTCAGAATTGACTTTATAACACATCATCACCATCCTCCTTATTATTATTATATTTCAGCTTTGTCACATTTAATTCAATAGCTATAATATAATTTTTGGCAAGGAAATCTGAAGGAAATTTTGAAAGTAATGGAAAATACAACAGAAATTGAGTTATTTGTCACATTTAATTCAATAGCTATAATATAATTTTTGGCAAGGAAATCTGAAGGAAATTTTGAAAATACAACAGAAATTGAGTTTGAGCTCCGAGATAAATGTATTTATCCATTTAGCAAAGTGTCTCTAAACTACCCCTCTATGTTATGGATACTAGGGCAGTGTGCAGAGGCACAGGCAATTAGCCATACAAAATGAAACAAGAATAATGACCAAACTAATCATGAATAGTCTCTCAAGAACCTGAGGTAATGATCCTGTGTTCCTTTTTACAAACCACGTTTTTATTTTTTGCTTTATAGAAGAAGAATTACAAGAAGCGTTTAAGTGGAATTTGCTATTTAATACAGATGCTGTCTTATTAATACAGATATTGTGAGTTTGTGTGAGCCACAGAGTAGAACAATATGTTACTGTTTGTTGTTTTACTTCAAAATGTTCCTTACATTAAAAAGCTCAATTTCTTTCAAAATCTTCCATTTCTTTGCTAAAACACTGAAACCCCAAATATGCCTTATATCTTGTTGCATAATGAAAGTCTGTTCTTCTGAGCCATGTTATATATCTTCTTCCCCTTGGGTACTATGCTTTGTGAATGAATAAGCTAATGCAAGTGGAATATTTTCTGATATATTGGATTTCAAAATAAATGGCATAAATTGTTTCTTGAACTTCCACCGTTGCAAGGCTTTTTCAAAGATTAAGAATTTAAAGAAATGACGACAATCCCAAAGTGTCTCTACAGAGTTATAGCTATGATATAGAAACAAAATTTGTGATGCCCTCGCTTGTGGGAGGTGTGGAATCTCATATTATGTATTATCACAGCCCAATACATTTCCCAGTGTATTTGTAACCAACATTCACAAGAGAACACCTGTTTTAATCTGTTTAATTGACAATGAAGGCAATGTGGGTTCAAGAGGCAAAAGAAGACCCTAGCTGAGCCCTTCACTCCTGAGTAACCCAAGGTTAAGAACCAGTGCCCTAGCTGAGCCCTTTGTACTCTCCAAATTTAGAGTAGAATATTAAGAAGGAGAAGTTGCAGACAGATTGTACTGAAAACAGTAACTAGTAATACCAATGTTTTCAGTCATGTGGTGTACCTTATTGTAAATGATTGTCAGTAGGGGAGATAGCAAAAATTAATCTGTAGCAGAACAAGTATTTTGATTGTACTGTAGGTGTGGAAATGTAATATAATCCAGATTCTCAGGTTAGCACTTCTAATATACCTACTAAGAAATAATTCTATGCTTTGAAGTTACCCTGGAACCGCAAAAATGTTGAGCATGTGCAGGAAAAAGAGTTCCTGTTAAAATTATTAATATAAAAATAAAAAGAGCTAGCTTTTTCTTTTCTTGGTTTTAATTCCAGATCTCTTCAAGGAAGTAGCAGGGCCTACAGAAATGTGTGACCAGAGGCAGCTTGGCTTATTGCTTCATGATGCTATTCAAATCCCACGGCAGCTGGGTGAGGTAGCTGCTTTTGGAGGTAGCAATATTGAACCCAGTGTCCGTAGCTGTTTCCAACAGGTAATAATTTCGACTTGCATTCACTTCTGGCTGCTTTAAACATATGACATTCAGAAATGCTCATTTAAGCCATTTCTCGCAGTCATGGACACTGCCTCTTTTAAAGAAACAAGAAAATCATAATAGGGGTATTAGAGCTACCTGCAAATTAGCCATCCAGATAATTATTAAAGTCATTCATCTGTAAAGTCAGGGTAAAAGAAATTGTGTTATTACTTTGAGATATATAAATTATGAATTGCTCTTGCTTTTTTTAAAATAATAAAAAAAGAAAAGAAAGCTATACCTTAAACAATAACTCAGAAATTGCTTTGTGAATGCTTCTCATGCGTGCGAGAGCTGGAATTTTCACAGGGAGGTGCTGCAAAAGCCAAGCAGAAGTGTTTGTGTTTGTTGTTCCATTTTATGCAAAATAAGAATTACGCTCAGTAGAGTACAGTAGCTTGTTCCAATGATTTCTTAGCCACACAAGCTGTGTATTCAGGCATTCAAAATCAACAAGTGGAAGCAGGGGGCAGTTTCTGTACATTTGGTCTGTTTCTGTGGAGTCAGCTTCAGATCTGATTGCATTCAGAGTGGAGGTCTGAATGGGCACTCTGTTCAGCAAGGTGATCATAGACGTCTCAACAAAGTAAGGAGCACTTGCTATCGCAGAACTCCTGGTCACATGGGGATTTCTGAGCTTCTGCAAAAATCTGATGCTCTCTCCCATAGGAAAAAAGTTACCAGGGAAGGAGGCTTTCTCATGCACTCCCCACTTCATTCTTCAGGCATTCAGGCTGAACACACGAACAGCTTTCACAAAGGGGAAAAGGAGTGCCAGCTGGCTGGATAACTCAGTAGTTTAGATATCTGGCTGTGGAGACAGAAGTTGAGAATTCGATTCTCCGTGGGCTCAGTTCCAGGGTGCCACTAGAAAAAGGGAATACGTAAACCACTTCTAAGTATTCTCTATATAGAAAACTCTGGAAAGGGTCGTTGTAAGTCAGAATTGACTTGAAGGCACATAATGATGATGATGATGAAAACATTGCCTGCCTCTTTCTATATATAGAAGCCAATTGGGCTGGCTGTTGAATTGTACTTCAACTCTGGTAACACTTGACGATTGCAAACCAGTTTAAGGGATAGAGGAGAAAGAGTACTCCAAGACAATGCTCGTGGTACTCAAGAGGAATGCCCGAGAGACTACCACTGCTTTTGTCCAACATCTGTGTCTCCTGAGACAGTTACGTTATTCTAATCCATCTGAACAGGGCTGCAGTATCACAAGCTTGTTGCATATACTGGTTTAAGAAACTTGTTTCCTGTGCACTGGATCATTAGCTTAAAGGACTATGATTTCTGCCCCCTTTTACTTCATTGAATGTTAGTGGCAGTAGCATTTTCATGAGTTGTGTGTTAGCCTAATTGTTTTCTCGCCTGGAACGAATCAACAGTAGAACATCCTCTTTCTGAAAATAGTGTAGTTAAAAAATGAATATTAAAATATTTTTTAACTTACCAGAATAACAATAAGCCAGAAATTGGTGTCAAAGAGTTCATAGACTGGATGCGTCTGGAGCCTCAGTCAGTGGTATGGCTGCCTGTTCTGCACAGAGTGGCAGCTGCAGAAACAGCAAAGCATCAGGCTAAGTGCAACATCTGCAAGGAATGCCCAATTGTTGGTTTTAGGTAAGCCTCCCTTGTCTTCTCTGTTTTGCCCTAGTAATGTGATTGATTGATTGTATGTCTCTACTTCACTCCAGATGTTATGCTATGTATTATCACGTTAGTTGTCATCTGAGGTAAGGGAGATGTCTCACCTGACCACGTTGTCTCATTCTGTGTGCAGTGAGCTGTAGGATATCTTTTCTGTGCAGCATCATTCAAAATGCTGGGTTAGACAATTGCTGGAGGACAAATATTTTTTCCTTGATGATGACTTTAGGGATGTCAATTTTGCAGCTTCACAATCTCTAAGAAAGGGAAAATGGCTAATTCTTATTCTCTCCTTAAGATTTTCTTACAATACAGTCTCTCTGGAGAGTAATGTTTTGGGAAATTTTGAAGAAGAAAGCATCTAATCCTGTGGGACACCCAAAGTATAATTTGCATAACATTCCTAGTGAATTTAAAGTCCATATAAAGAGTAGATTTGTATTACTAAATTCAGTTGACTTTGAACCAGAAGAACTGTGGGTTGAAAAAAGGGGTATTATCAAGGAAAAATTCTTATAGTACAAACAGAACTGTTACAATAATGAGTGCAAAATAAATAAAGAACAACCGGGGGAAAAGAAATCTCTTCCATTAATTCAAAAAAAATGAAGTAAAATTTGAACCAAGATTAGGGATGCTGAAAGGCCAGTAAAGAAGTATCTTCATTGTATCCCGGTAAGATAATACAGTATTAGTTATAAGCAGTATACTGAAGAACTATACAGAAGAGATGCAAGAATGATAGATTCCTTTGAAGAAGAACCCTGGGATGAAGAACTTGCGGTTTTAGAAAGCAAAGTGAAAGCTGCTATAGTAGAGACTGAATCTTTCCAAATCCTAACAAGAATATGCATATAAATATGGAACATAAATCAATCCAAATCCTAACAAAAATATACAAATATATATGGAAGACAAAACAGTTACTCGTAATCTAGAAATATTTAATGTACCTTCCAATCCCCAAGAAAGGAGATGCCAAAGTGTCATAATTTTAGAATTATTGCATTAGTTTCCCATGCAAGCAAACTGATGCTCAACATTTTGTAACAGACAATTTTACCATACATGTAAACAAGTGATGCCCAGTGTTAAAACAGGATTCAAACAAGGAAGAGGCACTAGAAGTCAAATTGTCAATATGTTGGCTACTGGAGTGTGTTAAAGAATTTCAGAAGAAAATCACTCTGTGCTTAATAGATTACAGCAAAGCCTTTTTACCATGTGGCCCATGTTTTTTAAATGCTACAATTTATCGCCCAGATGTGTATCCTATATTCAGGACATGAATCAATTGTTAGGATGAAATATGGAGAAACCTAATGATTTCCCATAAGCAAAATTGTCAGACAAGGATGTATTTTATCCCCTTGTCTGTTCACTCTGTATGCCAAACATATTGAGAACACCTCATTCTCAGTGTATTCATGGGCAAAGTAAGCCCGCTCTCATGTCTGATGAAGTGGACTTGTTAATGAAAGCTCACATTAATATAGAGCAGTTAGTCTTCAAGGTGCCACAACATTTTTGTCTTTATATTTTATTTTTCTTTTGTTTGGGCCTGATAGAATGTCAGGTATTAATTAGTCATAACTCCAAATTTTATAAATATAATCAACATCTTGGATCAGGCCCTGGGGGGGGGAATTAGGAAATCAGGACAAATCTGTAGTGACTAGTGTTATCAGTCCTCCTCTTTGCCCTCTTCAACAGATAGATAACCTTCCAATTGACTTTCAAGGCAACTGCACAGATAGTGCGCAATAGTAATTACCTTGAGCCGGCTACCTGGGATTTGAACCCCAGGTCGTGAGCACAGTTTTATCAGTGGATAAATAATTATTCTCCAACCCATCTGATGATGCTGTCTAAATATGTCTTTGGATATAAGGCAGAGTGTGATTTATCATTACCCCAGAAACTTTGCAGACTACAGGGAAAGAGGGGGCTTGGGACTGCATCAAATAGAGAAAATGGTCCTCTCTTATCTCCTGCCAGTGGCAATGTCCTAAACCTGAGACTTTCTAAAACAATGTAGGAAGAAGAACATAAGTTTATACTATCAACCAGTGTGCAGAATGGGATCCTTCTCATTATGAGAGACCAGAGATAACTGTCAATGTTGCTTAGAGAAAGTTGATTCACTGTAACCATACAAAAGTTCGCTGAATTAATAAGCATTGATTAAAGATGTCCTGTCTGGCACAGATGTAACACAAGGATGTATAAAGCAACTAAAAGGAGCACCTCAGAAGGAAGTGGCTGGCAGCTAACAGAATTATTTATTGATCCTTAAATGTGTTTGGAAAATAGGCCCAGTGCAAGATTTCATTATGACACAAAAAAGCCTTACTAGGCTGCTGTAACAAACACATAGTGGTGAAAAGAGAAGATGATACCTGGTCTTACATCTTTGGGATCCTTACTTTCAGTGTTAGATGATAAATAATTTTACATAAAAATGAAGAATTACAACTTCCACAGGGACAAAAAAAATCCTATTTCTTGTCCAATTAATTTTGTGAAACAAAATTCTGATACAAACATTCATGCATGTTAAGAATCTGCATGGAGAGCCTGTACATGAACAGGAACTTTTGCTCTGCAGACACATAAAGTCATGGCCAAAAATATTGGCACCCTTGCAATTCTGTCAGAAAATGCAATCCTTCCCTCAGTAAATGGTTGCAGTTGCAAATGTTTCGGTACTCACATGTTCATTTCTTTGGTTTGCGTTGGAACAACGCCAAAAAACAGAAGAAAAGTCAGTCCCACACAGAAACCCAAAAATGCACTGGGCAAAATTATTGGCACCCTTAAATTCATATTTGGTCGCACCCCCTTTGGAAAAAAATAACTGAAATCAATCGCTTCCTGTAACCATGAATGAGTTTCTTACACCTCTCTACTGGAATTTTGAACCACTCTTCTTTTGCAAACTGCTCCAGGGCCTTCAGATTTGAAGGATGCCTTCTCCCGACTGCTGCTTTGAGATCTCTCCACAGGTGTTCTATGGGATTCAGATCTGGACTCATTGCTGGCCATTTCAGAACTCTCCAGCGCTTTGTTCGTAAGCATTTCTGAGTGCTTTTTGAAGTGTGTTTTGGTTCATTGTCCTGCTGGAAGACCCATGACCTCTGGTGGAGATGCAGTTTTCTGACACTGGCCACTACGTTGTGCCCCAAAATTCTGCGGTAGTCATCAGATTACATGATACAATTCACACAGTCAAGGTATCCACTGCTAGAAGCAGCAAAGCAACCCCAAAACATATTTGAACCTCCACCAGGTTTGACTGTAGGGACTGTGTTCTTTTCTTGGAATGCCTCATTTCTTTTTCTGTAAACAGTGCCATGATGTCCTTGACCAAAAAGCTCTACTTTTTGGTCAAGTAGTTTGGTCAAATACTTTTAGCCGCTTAGAGTGGTCGCAGTGACCAGATAGGCTGGATATAAATAAAATAAAATAAACTAATACATACATACATACATACATACATACATACATACATACATACATACATACATACATACATACATACATACATACATACATACATACATACATACATACATACATACATACATACTTTTATCTCATCTGTCCCAGAAGGATTCTGGGACATCCTGCCAGGAGGATTGTCAGATACTCCTGTCTTGCTTTTTTATGCCTTTGTGTCAGCAGTGGTGTCCTTCTGGGTCTCCTACTATGGCGTTCCTTTTCATTCAGATGGCAACAGATAGTGTGAGCTGACACTGTTGTATCCTGTGTCTGCAGATCAGCCTAAATTTGTTTGGAAGTTAATCTGGGTTCTGTAGCCACCATTCAAACAACCCTTCATTGTACTTTTTCAGGAATTTTGCTCTTCCGTCCACATCCAGGGAGGTTAGCTACAGTGCCATGAGCTGTAAACCTCTTGATGATATTGCGCACAGTGGACACAGGAACATTAAGATCTCTGGAGATGGGCTTGTAGCCTTGAGATTGTCGATGTTTTTCCATAATTTTTTCTCTCAGATCCACAGACAACTCTTTACACTTTATTCTTTTTTCCTTGCTCAGTGTCACACACAACACGAAGGTTTAGTCAACTTTTCTCCATCTTAACTGGTTGCAAGTGTGATTACTGTATTGCCCACACCTCTTACTTGTGACAGGTATGTCTAAATACAAATTAAAGGAGCATCACATGCTTGAAAAACAATTATTTCTTCCAATTTAGACAGGGTGCCAATAATTCTGGCCAGTGCATTTTTGGATTTGTTTGTGGGATTGTATCAGATTTGACTTTCCTTTTCTATTTTTTATGTTGTTCCAAAGCAAACCAGTGAAATGAACACGTGAGTACCAAAACATTTGCAACTGCAACGATTTTCTGAGGGGAGGGTTGCATTTTCTGACAGAATTGCAAGGGTGCAAATATTTTTGGCCATAACTGTGGCTCTACATATGGGGATCACTATGAAGAAGCAGTATCATCATCACTGTAATACCCTCATGATAATCATCATCACCATTTTCTTGTACCCTCTGTCATTAGAGTATGCCACTAGCTAATGAACAAAAAGCCTGCAGAAAGTTGTATCTAAGCTTTCCCTGTTTTCTGATTTAGATTTCTGAAGCAGTCAAGGTTAGAATTCATTTAATGCCATTTTAATGCTGAAAGAATGTATAGTATCTGTGTTTAGCATATTACAAAACCATCACCATCTGAAAACTTGCACAGGTGTTTTCAGACTTACCAACCCTATGTGAAATAAATGCAAGATCCCAGCTCTAGAATTTATTTGCAGTTTTTCAGCAGACAGCAGCATATATTTATTTCTGTAACAAATTCCCAGACATTCCAAATGCTGGCAGACAAATTGCTACCTAGACCTAAGTGACTGCTGTAGTCAGTTCTATCCAGTGCTAGTACACTGTTCAGCTAGATTTAATGTGAGTGTCTGCTGTTTTTTTTTCCTGATGCATGAATATATGTTTATAATTTAGGGGATTACACTGAGAGATGCTGAACCAGCTGTCTGAGCATTTTACACAAAGCCCTGTTTCCATTACCTTCACTGTTATATTACATTGGTCATATAATTCACCTTTATGAGTGCATATAGTAAAATCCAATATACTGTACGTCCCTACAAAAATAGTCACATTCCTACTGTTTCTTTGATCTGAAGTTTTTATATTTTCTCTTCCTTGCCCTCAAAGGCCACAATTAGTTCATTAGTGACCTCCAAAAGGACCTGTTATTAACAGGCCTGCGCAGCTCTCGCAAATAAAGCCTGTGGGTTCTTTATTGGGTTATTCCATCTCATGTTTGGTTCTGCTCTTTTCCTGCTGCTTTCAACTTTTCATAGCATGCATTCGTGAAGGCTTTCACGGCCGGGATCTAATGGCTGTTGTGGGTTTTTTGGGCTCTTTGGCCGTGTTCAGAACATGGCCAAAGAGCTCGAAAAACCCACAACAATTATTTTCCTAGCATTCTTGTCTTTTCCACTGAATCTTATCTTCTTGTATTGTACCTAAAGTAAGATAGCATGAGTTTAATTATTTTTGCTTCTCATTGTGGATGAGGATCCACAGGGAGGCTTATGGACTGAATAGAGTGGCAAAATATGGCTGCTGCTCCAGACATGAGTTGTCTATGAACATGCATAACTGGAGAAGATTGAGTCGCCTTGGTATCTTGAGCCAAAGTGCTAAAAAGCTGACACAGTGGTTGGTATAGTGACCATACTGGAGGAAGGAATGACCAAGCATGGAGTTGCCTGAGAACACAAAAATATGCACAATATCTAAGTTTTATTCAGCATCTAGTGCTGTTGCTGAAGTCAGGAAACATGAAGATGCTTAAAATGACATTCTAGAAGCATTCACAAATAATGTTGCAGCCATCATTTGTTGAGCAAGCCTGAGTCAATCTTGAAGAAAAAACAAAGAAAATGTTTCCTGGTCTGTCTTTTGCACACCTTCTCTGCCAAGACTCATCTGAAATCTGGAATACCTTTGGATATTCTCAACTACATCTTGATGTAAATAGCTTTTTTCCCCTTCCTCGCTCATAATAAGCACATCCATTATTTTCTTGCATTTTCAGAAACTTTTCTAGGACTTCAGTGAGATATTCTTCTAAATTCTCATTAGGATTCCTTTTCAATAATGTTTCAGAACAGTATGAAGAATTGACAGAACTGAAGAGACACAGGCCCAAGAAAAATTCACTGTGTATCTTTCTACTCTTCTGGGTCATAGAATAATGGAGTTGGATGGGGCCCAGGTCCATTATTTGTCAAAACACAGTTACTAGTCCTTCACTCTTTGAAGGCTTATTTATTTTACCCTCTATAAGTATGGTAAGACAGGATAGGTTGCTCTGCATATATTCCCGGTGTTAGTAAAGAAGAACCCATTAGGTTTCCCCTGTACTCTCATTACATTTCCTACTTGCAAGTCTGTTTTGAAGCTAGGTGAATCATTTAGCCTGCAGACAGCTTTTAATTTTGTTGGTGCTTCACACATTTGTAGCTTGACAAGCGGCTGGGCTAGGGCACTAAAACTGGGCAGAAATAAAGATGGATCCTGAGAGGATCCATTACAAAAAAATAACCACACAGCAAATGCGAAGTGAAATTTGTAACTCTAAACCCATGGCTTCAATTTAAAGTTTATTGCCCAGCCTGAAGTAAGTCCTAGGTAGGGTATAGACATGGGCACGAATCTAAAAATGAATCAGGACATTCAATAAATATCCCTTATTTGTCAGATATTCGTTGCTTTGTATTCTTGGGGTCCAGAGACCCCAACAAATACGAAGCAACGAATATACTGTAACCCTTTTAGATTCATCCCTTCATTCCCTGCTTATGCCCTTGCGGATCAGCTGTTTCTCAAGAGCATAAGCAAAGAGGGATTTTTCCTTCTCCCTGCTTATGCCCTTGCGGATCAGCTGTTCCTCAAGGGCATAAGCAAAGAGGGATTTTCCCTTCTAGTGTCTTGCTAAAGCCTTCCAGAAGGGAAACCCACCCCATGGACTCGGGGGTGGCTTGGGTCGATCTTTCCCCATCTTTCTATGCCCGCCTGCTTATGCCCTTGCGGATCAGCTGTTCCTCAAGGGCATAAGCAAAGAGGGATTTTCCCTTCTAGTGTCTTGCTAAAGCCTTCCAGAAGGGAAACCCACCCCATGGACTCGGGGGTGGCTTGGGTCGATCTTTCCCCATCTTTCTATGCCCGGCAGGGGCACTGCCAGAAGGGAAACCCACCCCTGGGACTCGGGGGTGGCTTGGGTTGATCTTTCCCCATCTTTCTATGCCCAGCAGGGGCATAGAGAGAGGGGGAAAGGGACCAAAGCAATCACCCAACGCCACTGCCTTTGCAAAGGCAGCAGGGATGGATGATGGCTTGGGTTGGCCTTTCCTCCTCTTACTATGCCCGGTGGGAACATAGAGGGGGAAAGAGACCAAAGCAATTGCCTGGCTCTACTTCCTTTGCAAAGGCAGTGGGGGTGGGTGACAGCTTGGGTCAGGCTTTCCCCTCTTGCTATGCCCAGAGGGGAAAGGGGGGGGAGAGGCCAAAGTCATTGCCCGGCTCCATTGCCTTTGCAAAGGCAGTGGGGGTGAGTGACCGCTTGGGTCGGGCTTCACCCTCTTGCTATACCCGGCGGGGGCATAGAGAAAGGGGGAAAGAGACCAAAGTGATCGCCAAGCTCTGCTGCCTTTGCATAGCAAGAGGGGGAAAGCTTGACCCAAACCATCCCCCATCCCTGGGCTCTTCCCCAATGAATTGATTCATTGGAGAATATTCATAAATTTGTATTTGTTGATTTGTTAACCTTGATGAATCACAAATCACAACAAATTGTGATTTTTTAAAGAAAATTCATCCCTATCTCTAGTAGGGTGTGATCTTATGGGGAAATAGATCACCAGAGCGGTCTGGTGCAGTCTGTGTCCCAAAGTCATGCGAAGTGCAGGGAAAAGCACTCAGGTCCAAACCCAATACATACTCAAGCTGGATCTTTTGGATCCAGCTATAAGGTTACTTCTTTTTGCGGCTAGGCTGGAGTGGTTGCCTGGCAGATTGAAGAATCACTTTATGGGAGATCACTCTCATTAAAGCAGCCATTTTTGGCATGATCAGGCATGGACCTGTACAGTCATCTTTTAGCACCCTTAGTTTCCCAAGGTAGATCTGAATGCCAGTTTCTATAATTGATGGCATGCACAGCATCTAGTTTTTGCTGGCCAATAAATAATCAAACATTTGCTCTTTACCAGTGAGCACTTTCACTGGAGTTCCTTGACAGTGATCCAGATCACCTTCAATTCAGTTTGCTGTTTCAAATGCTAAAACTAGATGTGGACCTTTTGAAAAATGGCCAGAATTCTGTTTGTCTTTGCATAATGTAAAGTCCCACCTGTACAAATTTGCTGGGCATTATGCTCAGGCAATGAGGATAACCCAATTCAGTTGCCAATCAATTGTGCAGTTCCTGTAACAACCAAGTGTGTACTGTGATTGTACTTTGTTTCTTCAGCCATGAACTCTTTGTAATTCTTATGACTGAAATTTGATGTTGGATAAATAAATAGAAAGTCTCTCTTCCTATTCTTTTGGGCTCCTTTACATATTACTAGTATCAGGCATGTCACAAAACCTGATTCAGTAATGTTATCATAAATTCAGTGTAATACAATTATAGGCAAACAAAGTGGATTGGATTCAAATAAATGTATTTGTAACTGCACTGTTGAAAGCGAACTTCTCCACCCCTCTTCTCTGTGTTAAGACCCCTCTGAGGTGGACAAGATCCTGGTAAATGTCATCAAGACCTTACAAAATTTTACATCAAGCTACAAGGTCTATGAAGACTGGCTACAATGTTTCTAAGGCTTTTTCAGAAAGAAGGTCACTTATTTTTTCCCTCTGTATTTCCAGGTATCGGAGCCTGAAACATTTCAACTATGATGTCTGCCAGAGCTGTTTCTTTTCTGGTCGCACAGCAAAGGGTCATAAGTTACATTATCCGATGGTGGAGTATTGCATACCAGTGAGTACTTATGACCTGACATTTTCTATTGGTTTTTTTTAAACTTATTCCTCGTAATGTTCTCTATTTTGTTCACTGATATATAATCTATAAAAATCACTGCTGTTTATTTGCAATAATCCATTGGAAATGATTGAAATATTAATTGTATTAATTGTATTTATAAAACTTTTCATTTTTTCATGAAACTTATTTTGAAAGAAAGTTAAATGTAGAGGGAACAGAAATAATGACAACAACACTATAAAATTACAAGAAGCATAGTTTTAATTCTTAATCTATCATAAATGTGTTGGTGTGACAGACAGTTGATACTTCAATTACATATCATAAATAAGGAGTGTTGTGCACATGTGTGTGTGTGTGTGTGTGTGATTGTTTGGTGGGGGAATAAAAACACCTGTACATACTTGTAAATGATCAAAGGTATGAAATACTACTTCCACAAAGGACATGAGTGGGAACCTTGGTGACATGATATTTTGTTAATATCTTGTCATGTTTTGATTTCTTTGTAAAACTGTTCATTAAGTTTATATAAGATTGTGTCCACCCTAATTTTAACACTCTACTAGTGTTTGCTTGGGGGATTTCCCATTATGAGCTACAAATTCATTTGGAATTGTATGTAGCCTTTCCACTAAAAAAACACACTCAAGGCAGGTAACAATAAAATGCAAACAAAATTAACAGTCTTCTAATTAAGAGATTAACATTCATCCGTTTAAAACATATCTAATTTGTAGACATTGAGTAAAAACAATAAAAACAAATTGTTTAAAAAAATAGCAGAACCCACGAATTGTAAAATCTGCTTTAGCAGCACATCCACTCAGTTGCCAAAAGCGCCTCTGAATAAAATCATTCTTGTCTGCTGGTTAAAGACAATACAGATGGAACTAGCCTGGATTTCATTATCAAGGGCTTTCAAAGCCTGGAAGCAGCAGCCATCAAAAAGAACATCTCTCATGTTTGCCAAATGTGTCTCAAAAATAGCATTCTGTTCAACAAAGGATGAAAATGGGCTTTGGCTTAAGGGCCTAAGCTGCAGTTCCAAGGCTTCCTTCGGGCATATCCCTGGGGTTTGTACATTATCATGGAGACTAGGGTCTTTAGCTTTTAGACTGAAAAGCAGCTACATAGCCACATCACAGACAGCATCTGAAATTCTCCTCTTGTGTGGAATTAAGGATATTGTTTGAAAAATTTAAAATGCAGATGTCTGTTAAGTAGCAATATATATCCTTGCTTTTCCCATTCTCCTATTGTGCCTAGTGTAATAGGTTCATCCATGTCAGTTCCCTGAAAACTGGTTCTAAAGTGTTAGACTGAAGTCCTAATTAAGTGTTTAATAGAAGAAATCACATTCAATATAGTGGTTCCTTCTCCCGAGGACGATGCACAACGTTACATCATACTTAGAGCACAAACACAATAAGCTTTGGAATAAGACTGAGAGGACAGTAAATTCAGTGATGAAAGCTTAGCAGCACTTTTAGTGATGAAAATGTAATTACCCAACCAGTTGATGAAGGGGGCAGTATTGTCATAGGGAGCAGACATAATTATGAGAGATTATTGGAGATTTATAGGCAATTAGAGGACGTGTGTCTCGATTACATGTGCCTCTGTTTTAGAAACAGAACCCAGCATCAAAATGATCTTAGACCCCTGCAAAAAGCCTTTCTATCTTTCACGATAGGATTATGCATTCTTTCTTAGTTCTAAATCCCAAACACCAATTTATGTAAAATCCACAAAGATGTACTTCTTTCTCTGGGCAGGCTTATTATACCAGGCTGGTAGTGATACATTGTCCAGAGTGTCTCAGTGTGTAGGGTTTTGTGTAGGGTTTTCTTGGCAGCACTTCCTGGAGATCTCAAGCCAGGAACTTCACAACTTCTGTCAATAAGTTGAATCCAATTTCAGGATGTTCATAAAATATGTGTTCTGATTACATTAGATATGTTATACTGTATACCAACATCTGTAGGAGGATTCCTTATAAGATAAACCTGAAAAGTTTTAGTACCATTCCATTGTGTTTTAATCAGACCACATCTGAACCACGGTGTCCAATTCTGAGTATTACAGCTTAATAAGGTTATCAAGCTGGAACACATCCAGAAGAGAATCAAGATAGCAAAAGGTCTGGAAATAAAGCCCCATGGGGAACATTTGGAAGAGTTTAAGAAGAGAAGACAGTTATGTGATAACTCTCTTCAGTATTTGAAGGGTTGTCATATGGAAGAAGGAGCAAGCTTACTTTTGGTGGCTCCATGGAATAATACCCAAACTAATGAAGTCAAAGCTGCCTAGATAGTTCAGTGGTTTGGATATCTGGTTGAGGAGCCAGACATTGGGAGTTTGATTTCCTGCTGTGCCTCTTGTAAGTAGAGCAGCCTTGGACAAGCTGCACAGCCCCAAGGCACCTCCCAGAAGGTAATGGTAGACCACTTCTATATATTCTCTATCATCCAGAAAGCCCTGGGAAGGGTCACCATAAGTCAGAATTGACTTAATGGTACATTATTATTATTATTATTATTATTATTATTATTATTATTATTATTATTATTATTATTATTATTATTATTATTATTATTATTATTATTATTATTATTATTATTATTAT